TTCGATTGACATCCAATACATTTACTATATTCATTTATTTATATTGTAATTTACTAGTGATGGGTGATGGGAGTCGCTTCTTTGCCTAATTTGGAAATGGTTGTGTGCCACGCGAGCGCAGACAGCTTCACCTTCCATCAACACCGTCCCCGCCCTGGCGCCGCATTGGGTTGGGATTTGGGAGAAAATGTTTGGATGGAGCGGAGTGAAGGTGTTTCCGTCGAGAGTTGAGAGCCTGCGTGCCAGGGGAAGCGTCTGGAGGGAGCGTCAGGGGAGAGCTGGAGGGGGAGCTGGGGAGATGCTAGGAAGGGCGCTGTATGTATGAAGAGTCGTGCGGTGTCGTCGAGTGCGCCCACAGGGTTCACTAGATGAGACGACAAGAGAACGATGAGACGCGTACGGGATCCCTTGTCCTCGCGTCCTCTCACCAAGTGCTTCCCTTTGTTCTGGGGTCGCATCGCCTTCTGCCTCGGATGAACAAGAACCTCATGAAACACGTAGAGTTGTACAAGGTAGTTCTCTGTGATCTGCATGTATATATACATTGGGTGTGTAGCGAATTATCGAGATCGTCTCCCCTTGGATCTGCGTTCTCCTTGACCTTTGATCTACACGTGCTATAACAGCTACTTTTATTCGACTGGGTTGTTAGCTGAAGTGACGATGTTAACGACTTGAGAGGGTGAACGCGCCGCACTATGGTCGTTCACCTGCAGTCCATCTCCGACTCGCATCCTCGTACTTTTCCTCAATCACTCCGCATAGGTCGTCCAGTGCACTCAGCGCGTCAAGGAGGGCGGTCAACGAAGACTCGTTGTCTGGAGAAAAGAGTTAGGGGTGGGGTAAAAGGTGAAAGGGAGGGGGGCTTACCGTACATCTGGATGCGAAGGTGGATCTTGTTTTCAGATGGATGAGGTGCGCTGCGAACTATTTAGCACAAGTCTAGTACAGAAAAGAGGGGGCTTTTGGAGTAGGAGAATCGCTAGGTAAGCACAAGAGAGTTTGGGTAGAAGAGTGCCGAGTATCCCCATTTTCGTAGCGTACAGAGAAGAGAATACTGGGACCTGAATATCCATCTATAGTGCGTCGTCTCTTTTGTGTAAAAGAGAGTGGATAGCAATGGGTCTCGCAGCGTATAATTCTCTGAACGTCCAACGAAGAAAAGGTTATAGCCACAGTGGTGGGACAGAAGGGGAGGGCGTTTGAGCCCTGGAGACAGACAAGATTCGCCGAAAGTCATAGGTGAGCACAATGGGATCTGTGCAAAATGAGCGTAGTGATGCTAATATTCTGCTGGTTTTGCAGGTAGCACAGGACATGGCTTCATGCCCTTCTCTAACCCCCCCATTGTCCTCTCGATTTCACTCGCAAAAGAGTAGAGTTTGGGATAAATACGGATAACACCGCCGTGGGGTTGTCACCCTCTGGCAACGAGTTCAGGCGAGCAGAGAGAGGTTAAGCCCTGCAGTCACGCCTTGCACGACTCTATATGCCTGAATACCTCGTTCATTGAACTTGAGCACGTGGTCGTGCAAGGGCTCAGACGTCCTCTCTGGTTCACCTCAGAGGTAAACTTAAACGCGCGTTAGGCGCGTTTCACAGCTCAGTAATTACCATCGGCGCATCGTACCGGTAGACTCGAAATAGAAGTATATAGAGAGAACAATAACACTGGCGTGTTTTTTTTTGTCGCCTTCTCTGGTCCTGTGCTCGGCAGAGGCGAACAGTATAGCAGGTGCATGGCCAGACGGTTGGAGCAGGGATGGAAAAGAGCAGGAAGAGGTGAAAAAGGTGGTGTAAGGATAGAGGAGGATGAGGTTAATCCGTGGAGGTGTAGGGTTTCCACTCACCTGTACCCGCAAAATTCCACCTTTGGGCTGCACATGAATATCAAAAACGAATAGAGAATGATATTAGGTTAGAGAGTGTAAAAGGGGTATGAGGAGGTGGTACTTTTTCATGATCATCCAGCGAAGGGCGTTCCCGAGTGTATGTGTCTCGTCGTGA